TGGGGGGAAAACAACAGATTTTTCTCCAAGCAAACAATCGTCATTGCCACTGATTCAAGTCTTCAAATTCTCTATACTTTCTTGAATAGTTTCCATTCTTCCATTCATGTTACCCGTTTTACTAATTTTTCTCCCAAATCCCATTTATTCAGAATATCAACAGTGAGATGGACAGCATATAACTTTAATAAAAATAAATAAATAATCTCCCCTCCCCCCAAACTCAGCATTCACACAGCAACTGAATAGGAGTTCTATGGATGCCTAGTTTCAAATTCACCCATAATAGACAATTCACACAGTACTTTCTGATCTATATCAGATTCTTGGTTCATGTTCTATAATCACTTATGTCTATGGAGATTCTCAGTCATCCAGCTCATGGTTGTCCCAAAGGTGCTTTTTTCAAGAGGAAACTGGACTTCTGGTTTTTCTTTGAAGACATTTCACTTGTCATCCAAGAAGTTTCTTCAGTTCTGACTGAATGGTGGGAAATGGAAGGATTTATGCTCCTTGCAGACAGCTGGTCATTTGCATTTGACCCGCTAAAAGAATGCAAATAATCAGCTGTCTGCAAGGAGTATAAATCCTTGCATTTCCCACCATCCAATCAGAGCTGAAGAAGCTTCTTAGATGAGAAGCGAAATGTCTTCAAAGAAAAACCAGAAAGTCCAGTTGCCTCTTGAAAAAAGCACCTATAATCGGGTTACTTTGCTGATTTGAAGATCTGGAATCTTCACTAGAAGGTGAATACTTCCCTTTAGTTCTGAGAATGTTCCCCCTAATCCCCCATGCAGATTGGACAAAATGAATGCCCTTCCAAAATTCACAATATTTCCAATAGCGGTATTGTAATATTCGAGGGATATCACAGAGAAGAGAGAGTCAACGTATTCTCCAAAGCACCTGAGGGCAAGACAAAAAGTAACGGATGGAAGCTTATCGAAGAGAGATCCAACCTAGAATTAAGAGGAAATTTCTTGTCAGTGAGAACAATTAATCAGTGGAACAGCTTGCCTTCAGAAGTTGTGGGGTGCTCCATCACTAGAGGTTTGGACAGAAGAAGAGATTGAACAGCCATTTGTCTGGAATTGTATAGGGCAGTGTTGGCAAACCTTTTTGGCATCGAATTCCTCTTCTGGGTTTGGCACGCATGCACGCGCTGGAATCCGGAAGCTCAGCTTCCTGGTGCACACATGCGTGCCAGGGAGTTGCTCTTCTGGTTTCCGGTGCTCCTGCGCGCACGAAGATCAGCTGGCATGCTGGAACCCAGAAGAGCAACGGGCGACGGCTGGCGTGCCTGGAGAGATGGCTCTGTGTACTACTTCCGGCACGCATGCCATAGGTTCGTCCTCACTGGTATGGGGTATCCTACTTGAGCAGGGGCTTGGACTAGAAGATTTCCAAGACCTCTTCCAACTCTGTTGTTCTGTAATTCTGCCCTGATATGATGGAATGAAAAGAGTGCTGAAGTGTTGGTTCTGAGCGTTTGAATCTCTACCCATTTCAGGAATGTGCTCATAATTACCAGGAGAAGGATCCAATGAGGTGTATATAGGATGATATAAGCAAATAAATGTTTAAGCCACATCCAAGAGAAAATGTTTAGGAAACATCAGGAATAATCAAACATCAGGTTTGATTAAGAGTATGAGGAGCTCAAAAGGAAATTTAAAATTATATAGAACCAGGGCTGTATAACATCTTAGCTTACGTAGGTAAAACCTCAAAGGAACCCCGGGGCTTTACACCAGGAATTATTGAATTTTTGAAAAAACAACAACAAAAGTCTGTCTTGGAGGAGAAGAATAAACCCCTATAGGAAAATGTTACCATTGTTTGTTCAGCCACCCAAGGAAAGCCATTCTTCCCCAATGGTCTTGGTAGAACCCCAAAGAATCCAGATAAATCAGCTTTTTATAGAAGCATGGGAACAGCATTTTAGAGCTTTATGTGCAGATTCCAACATAAAACTGAACAAAGATGATCATCATTTTCTCATTCTGAAGTCACTGGGTAGTGATTTTTGTCCTAGCTGAAATAATTAAAATGACCTTAGCTTGATGGATACATCTTTGTTCACCTTCATCAATCCAATAGGACATATTGTCATGGAATGGGGATAATAAAAGAGATCTGACTAATTATAGACCTACCAGCCTTTGGAGTATAATAAGCAAACGATGTGCTAAACACTTAAACTGAAGGCTCCAAGACTAGCTAGATCTTAAAGGTGTAACAGGAGACAAACAAGTGAGATTTAAAGAGGCCTCAGTGTCTAGTGATATTCTTGTACCACTTAATGAACAACCAGAACCATAAAGTGAAGTCTGCCAAAGGCTTTCCTTGATTTAACATTTGCTTTATATTCACAATGATATTGTGAAAAAAGTTTTTTAAAAATACATTCATTATAAGAGTCTTCTTTTCTGGATTCAGAAGCTGTACTTCCATGCCTCTTTAAAATGAAATGCAATCCAGAACTGTTGCTCTAAGAAATGGTAAATATATGGAGAGAAGTGAGGCAAGGATGTATTTTGACCCTATGTTGTTTAAATTTTACATTAACTCCATATACATAAAAAAAAAAAGCTAAACAAGATTTTCATGCTCCCCAAATTGTAAGATGTAATAAATATTCTCCTACTTTTGCTCACAGACGATGCAACCAGAGATCATCTTGTATATGGTCACTGTGCTCAGGAGAACAATAAGACCTATAATTCTGCACTTTAAGAAGAACAAGCTGGTTACAAATTAAGTAGATTAGATTAGATTAGGGTAGGGTAGGGTAGGGTAGGGTAGAGCACGGTAGGTAGAATAGAATAGGTCCATCTTTTTAAATATCTTACTGCGGTGTATTATTCCATGAAGATTTGAAAAACACATGATGAATATGTTACCCAGTTGGCATAAACATCTTCACTGGATACTAGAAGTTTCTTTTATTTATCTTTTTTTATTTAATGAAAAGACATTTAATGGCAGCAGCTTTAATGTTTTTTAATGCCAAACTTTGGCTCCAAATATTATATGGTGCCCATGTGGGAATTTAGACAAAGAAGAGCTAGTGCAAACCAAGTTCTTAAAGTCCATTCTTTCTGCCCCTAAGGGCATATCTAATACATCATTCAGGTTTAAGATTAGGATGCCTAGCATTCAAGTGAGCCTTGGAAGCAGATAAAGTTACTGGTTTAAGACCAGCTTTCCCAAGAGGTTTATTACTCTTAGTTCCAGCAGATGATCAACTATTGAGTTTGAAAACAACAAATGAACTAAAATAAATGTAATGTAGACTTTTGGTAGAGTTCTGTACATCTACTGGATATTCTAAATTTATGTAAGCTGAGTGTTCTTGCCCGTGTGAGTCTGGGAGAGTGAAATAATACAATACTTTATACAAAGTATAAAATGTGTTATTATACAATACTTTGAACAGGGATGTCTATGTCCTTTCTGCACCAATACACAGGCAGAAGAATGAGTTATAATTTCCAACCTGAAACATTCTCAAATATATTACATATCAAATGATCTAAGCCCCAGAGCTCACTGTAACAGCATTGCCAAAAAGCCATTAAGAGTTGTTAATCTAATTTTGCGAAGCTTCTTCTCTGGTAACATCAAACTGCAAACTAGGGCATACAAAACCTTTGCCAGACCAATTCTCGAATACAGCTCATCTGCCTGGAATCCAAACTATATATCGGACATTAATACAATTGAGCGGGTCCAGTAGTATTTCACGAGAAGAGTACTCCACTCCTCTGCTCACAATAGAATACCTTATGCCACCAGGCTTGAAATTTTGGGCTTGGACAACCTGGAACTACGCCGCCTACAGTCTGACTTAAGTATAGCACACAAAATTGTCTGCTACAACTTCCTACCTGTCAATGACTACTTCAGCTTCAACCACAATAATTCACAGGCAAAAAATAGATACAAACTCAAGGTAAACCACTGTAAACGTGATTGTAGAAAATACGACTTCAGCAACAGAGTGGTCAATGCCTGGAATGCTCTACCCGACTCCGTTGTTACATCCTCAAACCCCCATAGCTTCAACCTTAAACTTTCTACCGTGGACCTCACCCTATTCCTAAGAGGTCCGTAAGGGGGTGTGCATAAGCGCACCAGCGTGTCTGCTATCCCTGTCCCACTGTCCCATTTATTTGTACTCATTATCTGTGCTCATGTCCATGTTTATACTTATACCTGTTACCTCGTACATGTTTGACAAACTAAATAAATAAACTAAATAAATAAAATTTTTAAAAAATAAAATGTGGAGTAGCCAAATTCTATGTATGAACAGTGAAAATAAAATAGCAGGTAATGATGATGCAAACATGAACTGAGCACTGTTTTATCAATGTAGTTTTGTAAACTTGCTGATTGTATATTGTAAATGAAGGTTCTCTCTTTTTTTGTTACACTACTAGATTACTGCTAGTTGTGGTATTTTGGAAACATTATGATTTCAGCTCTGAACTCCCTTTTGAGGCCCTGCATAGTCTGTGCCAAATATTGAGACTGGCTTTTGGAAAAATTTTATGTAGGAATCTGTGGTTCAGCCTTAAAACAAGCAACTGTAGGAAAATGACAGACGACTATTAAATTTGACGGATTTCTAGAGAAAAAATCCTGAACAGATAAAGACATAGAATATAAAATGATCTATAAACTGAAAACTCTAGTGCATTGGAATGAATGGAAAAGAAAATGAACCTTGTCTTGTATTATAGGGCCATATTAAACTTTCAAACAAGCTTAGCATCTTAGATGTTACTGTTTTTCTTTCCTTTCTTACTAACACTTGCTAGAGTGTTCATCCATGTAAATCTACTGCAAGTATGCATCACTTAGCAATTATGGTATTTATATCTTTTCAATCATTGTAATGTAATGCACGCCAAACAATGACAATCTTTTAAATGAGTCTGGTATAACTGGAGACTTGAATAGGGCACAAAAAAGAAGGTACAATTCAAACTTACAGCTGGGAGACATGAATTCCAGGTATTCGTGTCATCACTGCTTGTGCTGATGCTAATATTACAATTGTTGATCTGAGAGGCGCTCAACCCATGTGAAGGTCCATTATGTTCTAATTCTTCATTTTGCTGCCTTTTCATGCTAGCCAACATCTGCATTTCAGACATGGTCATGTTGCTGGGCTGGTAGTCTTTCCAATTGTATTCCTATGGATTACATGAAACAAAACATGGAAATTGTACAGACACATCCGAAGAATTGATTCTGGCGGAGAGGGGCAGCATACAAGTTTAATAAATAAATAAAAATAAAGAGCATACACAGACCAATGGTGGGTTTTTACTGGTTCACCCCGGTTCAGGCGAACCGATAGTGGCAGCGGTGGGAGGCTCCGCCTACCCGCCCAGATGTCATCACGGACACTCTGCGCATGTGCAGAACCTTCTGTGCATGCGCAGAAGTGCCGTGCGCGAGCTAAGCAAGCACATATACGCTCCCAGTTCTGAACCGGTAGCGATGATAAGAGGTTCCCACTACTGACACAGACATAAATATATTTCTATACAGATAGTCCTTGACCTACAACCATTTGTTCACTGACTACAGTACTGAAAAAAGTGACACTTATGACTGTTTTTCACACTTATGACTGTTGCAGTCTCTCCATGGTCATGTGATCAAAACTCAGATCCTTGGCAAATGACACATATTTATGACGGTTGCAGTGTACCAGGGTCATGTACCATGGCACCTTTGACAAGCAAAGTCAATGGGGAAGCCAGATTCATTTAACAACCATGTACTAATTTAACAGCTGTAATGATTCCCTTAACTAGTGTGGCAAGAAAGGTCGTAAAATGGGGCAAAACTTGCTTAATAACTGTCTTGCTTAGGAACAGAAATTTTGAGCTTGATTGTGGTTGTAAGTCAAGGATTACCTGTAATAGGTGAGCATGTATAATTTGAAAGACAAAATATTAATGGATACATTTACTCCAAACTGTGGATAGTAATTTTCTTTGTCTTAACAAAAAGGAAAACTGCAAAAAAAAAAAAAAAAGTATAGTTACACTCTGTGTTTCAAAAGCTTAGCTCTCTTCTATAGTTTTATGGAAGTGAAAAAAGCATTAAAAACTGTGATTAGTACTATATAAAAGGAGAGGAAAATTAAAGCTAATTTAAGTAAGCTATCCTATGAACACAGAAAGAATCAGTAATTATAATCCAATGAATTCCACCGAACTACAGCATCTGTTACAAGGTGGATCTACATAATTTTCATACTAATTTCAGTACTTGGTTATTATTTCTATGGGATAGAGAAGAGAGGTCCCGCAGCTTAGATAAAAAAGATGTATTTTATGCATAATGCATAATGCCTGGGTAGGATATGGCTGGAAAAGGCTTCCATCTGAGAGCGTAAAAGAAACCCCCACTAACAGCAGACATTATTGGTTTATATATGCCAGACCCAATGGTTTGACTCAAAAATTATTAATATTCATTAACTGCTGCTAATTTATTTATTTATTAAGCATTCTAATCTGCTTCACTGCAGAGGCTATAGGCTCTGGTTAATGCACAAAGCATTAAAAAGCCCTTTAAAACAAAACAAAACAAAAAACCTTGATAAGCATATGGAAAACTAGATTGCTGGTTGAAATTTTAATCTTTGATCAAAATCCTGCTGGAAGAGGATGATTTTTAATGCTTTCAAACATTTTATAGCTTATGGGCTATCCATTCTCCTGAGATAAAGTGTTCCACAGTTCAAAGGCGGCTATGAGAAAAGTCTGTTGAACACTTACTTCATTTGCAGGTGCCGCTTTCTGCAAGCCTTCCATTGCTGATTGAATGGGATGAGATGGGTTGGGACATTAGTTAGGCAGTCTCCGATCTAATTCTATGTGATATAGGGACTTTATAGCTAATATCCAGCACTCAGAGCTGAGCCCAAAAGACAAGCTAGTGCAGTGACTGCAAAATGTGCCTAACACAACTTAAAATAGATTTCCTGGGTAGGTCTAACTGCTGCCTTCGATACTAGTTGCAGTTTCTGAGTTTGCTTCAAGGATAGCCCCTTTGCTATAGGACAACTGCATGGTGTGATCCACCAATGAGATGCCAAGGTTTCTCAATCCCAGTAGAATAGAATAGAATAGAATAGAATAGAATAGAATAGAATAGAATAGAATAGAATAGAATAGAATAGAATTTTTTATTGGCCAAGTGTGATTGGACACACAAGGAATTTGTCTTTGGTGCAGGTGCTCTCAGAGTACATAAAAGAATCATCAAGAATCATAAGGTACAATGCAATGATAGTCATAGGGTACAAATAAGCAATCAGGAAACTATATCAATATAAATCGTAAGGATACAAGCAACAAAGTTACAGTCATACAGTCATAAGTGGAAAGAGATGGGTGATGAGAATGATGAGAAGATTAATAGTAGTTTAGACTTGTGTTGAGGGAATTATTTGTTTAGCAGAATGATGGCATTTGGGAAAAAACTGTTCTTGTGTCTAGTTGTTCTGGTGTGCAGTGCTCTATAGCGTCGTTTTGAGGGTAGGAGTTGTAGGTAACTATGTTACAGTAGGGCTGTAACATGGTGTACTGAACAAAATCTCCTGGCTATGTCCTCCATCTGCTGTTTAAACAGATGTTGTGGCTTCAGGTGGATCCTAAGGTCCCAAATCAACCCCTTCAAGGGTGTGCTCCTTGTCTGGAGTAATCAACGGGCCTAAATGTCTACTCTATGGAGATTCTCAATCATCCAGGTCATGGTTGTCCCAAAGGTGCTTTACAAAAGGCAACTGGACTTCCTTGGATTTTTTTCTTTGAAAATGTTTAGCTTCTCATCGAAAAAGTTTCAGAACTGAAGAAGCTTCTTGGATGAGAAGTGAAACATTTTCAAGGAAAAAAACTAAGAAAGTCCAATTGCCTTTTAAAAAGCACTTTTGAGACATCGGGCCTAAATTTAACAGATGAACAGCATTTCTATCTCGTTACTTTTGTTTATAGCCTTCAGGCAATGGTTCAAGGCTTTCACAGAATTGCTGGTCCAACCTGGGCTGGTGATGTGCAATGAAATATCATCACTATGTTCAACCCTTTCAATAGATGAGCCTTCCCAGATGTTTTTTAAAGATGTGGAATAGCCTGAAGGAACTTTCATTCTCTCTTGCCAAAGAATGGGTGAAGAGGCAAGTTTTCACAGCTCTTCTGAACAAGAACAGAGTGTGGGTCATCTGGATTCTGGGGGGGGGGTGGGGGAAACCAAGATTCTATTATCTAACCCCTTCTTCCCATCTTTAAACTTGGTGAAAGAAACTCTGGAATAAATGTTTCTTCCTTGGTTGGACACTGTTGTTAAGGGCCTGACAATTATTTTAAAGCTGTCTTTCTTTAAGCATGCAACTCTATCGGAAAGACATTTGGGGTGTGTGTGTCTGTGCTTCAAAGCCAGAAGTTATCTGTACAAATGAAGGGGGAAAAAAAAACTTCTTCCAAATTTAATAGTACCACACTAATAGCAGGTAGGTTCTTTACTGTTTATGCTGCTATTTAAATGAGAATATAGCAATTGCTGTTTTGAAACTTTAAAAATGGGCAGTTTCCTTTTAAGAAAATGGTATTTTATCTTCAAAAATATCATTTTTTAAAAGTAGGTGTGTAGTTGGCCATGCTCAGTTTTCAGTGACACGTTTTTGGCACTTCAAATAGATCATTTACAGAAGCTATTTGAATAAAAGCCTTCTTTGTTTCCTCTCCAGCATTACAAAGCAGGCCATTCTGCACATGAATAGCAACACTGTTTGATCTGTATAGATTTAGAGTCAATAATGGGATTGCTTTATATCTTTAAAAAGGAATAGGTTGAATGAAGGGGGAGGGGGGAGGGAAAGAATGGCAAATAATTTAAGAAATTCCCTAAGTGTGCTCTGTTCTTTAGGAAACCAAATGTGAACTCATATGGTGAGCCCTTTTGTTCATAAATAACAACGTGCACTCAACATGTTTAACCACAATATTGAAACTGAAAATAATACAATGGAAATAGCACTTTGGAAAAAATAGAGGAATGTGCCCATTATTGGCTTGGCTGGTATTCCCTCTAATGAACTTTGAAGTGACCAAAAAGTCATTGTGTCATGGATTTGTAAAGCCAAGCAAATAGATTTGACTTTAAAGATCTGCAGATTTCTCTAATGCAGTAATTCTGTTCTAGATTTGCATGAATTCTCTCTCCCCAAAATCTTTAGATCAGATTTTTCCGGAAAAGTGCTCATCTTTACAGAATCTGAACTTCTGATTGTCAGTTTCATAAAACATGGACTCATACTTTGACAAGTTAAATTTGTAATGGTTCATCAGTTCTGATATTACCATATTCCTTCTACTCAAGGCCTTTCATATATTGTTGAGGAGGTAAGACCTGTCAATCAAATTAAGCACTAGGGTATCCGCCTTGTCATGGCCAGGTCTGCTCTCCAAGTTGACATTTTCTCTGTCATAGGAAACATTTTTAAGGCAGGCATTCCACACTATATGTAGATGGGTATAGACAGAAATCTATCATTGTTACCTAAACTCTCAAAGATGCTCAAAGTAAGCTAATCCCACGTTACAGAAGAAAAAAACCTACACCCTTTTTCTGCTACCAAATATATACAGTAATTCAGATCTAAGAATATTACTAGTATATAGTGTGTGGTTTGCTGTTTCACCTCATCTTTTCACAGGAAACAATTCACTTTTAAGCCGAAGGATGGAGAATTTATATTCAGCTAATGCGTAGGGTTGATATGAAAATCAATAATGAATATATGGAAGCAACCTTTATATTTCCAATGTAAAGGAAGGAAGAAAGGAAGGAAGTCAAAAACACAAACCGAATTATTCCAGCTACTGTGGTATTATGCATCAGCCTTATTACTTAGACTAAATCCTATTCCTGAATGAGTATTTGTTCTTTTTTTAAATAATATATCTGTAAAAGATTTTTTAAAAAGTTCCCAGATCTAAACCCTTTTGTGAACATTTTTCTCATTTTGATGGCAACCTCATCTAGCTGACCTCATCTGTATTTGGACTATGAATGTAATTATGTAGGGTTAAGACTTAGTTATGGGGGGGCATGATGGTTCAGCAGTTAAAGACGTTGAGCTTGTCAGCTGGAAAGCTGATAGCCTGGGTTTGAG